AAGAGAGAGAGAGAGAGAGAGAGAGAGAGAGAGAGAGAGAGAAAGTGAGAGAGAGAATGATAAAATAATATGCTTGTAACATGTATTCTGGGTAGTAGTGCGAACTTACCAAAATCTAAAATAACAGTCTAAGATACAGTGTATAGACATCTCTTCGTTTCATTTAGTAAAATTTGTTTAAGTCACCTCACCAGTCTCTATGTGGAGCTGTTGCTTACAAACTGGACTTAAAACGCTGAAGTTTGAGACTGGAATGACCTATTTCCTCATTTTGGAACGTGTGTGTGTGTATGTGTGTGTGTGTGTGTGTGTGTGTGTGTGTGTGTGTGTGTGTGTGTGTGTGTGTGCGCGCGCGCGTGTGTTGTTGTTGTTGATGGGTTTTTTTGGAAGGGGGGTATACATGGTCATACATAGTAAGTGCCACCACTTTAGTTTTACCTGACTCATTGAATCATTTCCCTACAGCTAGAGAAACCTCCTCTGAAGCTGCTAATCTGCACGACACTGGCGTGAAGGTGGTCAGTGTCGGGGTAGGGGCCGGCATCGACGAGGGAGAGCTGAAGGCCATCGCGTCCAAGAGTGACTTGGCTTTCTCAGCACCAGACTTCACTGCCCTGGAGAACATCGAGCAGCAAATATCTGCCTCGGCGTGTGGAGCAGTCGATGGTTAAGATCGGGACAGCTCATACTGCAACCAGTGGGGGTGCCATTCGTAAAATCCCTGTCCTTCAACAACCTGTGGTTCCATTTATAAAAGACCTATTGTACATATAGAATAAACGGTGGTACCATTAGTAAAATACACATCGTTCAGCAACCAATGCTACCGATAGTAAAAGTCATATCGTTCAGCAACCAGTTGTGCCCTTTAGTAAAAGACCTATCTTCCAAGAAATTGTGCAACCATTAGTAAAAGACCTATCGTACGTGTACAACAACCAGCGGTACCAAAAGTAAACGATTCATCGTTCAGCAACCAGTGATACCTTTAGTAAAAGACTCATGCAACAACAAACAGTGGTACCCTCAGTAAAAGACCTGTCGTTCAGCAAACAGTCGTACCATTATTAAAACACCTATCGTTCAGCACCCAGTGCTACCTCTAGTAAAAGTCTTATCTTACAATAAGCAGCTGTACTATTAGAAAAAAAAAACTTACGGTATCATAAAACAAATTATGGTGCAGCCATAGTAGTAGGAGTAGAAAACGGCCTATCGGCATGGTGCGAGTCTTGTGTCATTGCATACAGATTCCCATGTATTTTCGAATGGTACAAATAAATTATTAGTTCAGCATAAATCAAACAGAGTCGGCTTTCTTAAAATTTCTGTTGTCATTCCACTTTGTTTTAAGTTTGTGTTTGGTCCGCTAGGTTTCGGTATGTTTGGTCTGGGTTAGTTTTTGCTTTCTATTTTTGTTCGGGTCGGGTGTGTGTGTGGGGGGGGGGGGTTCTATCTGTTCAGCTGGTTCGACTGTCCGGGCTTGGTTTGTATTCTAAGTTTTCTTTAAATTGCTATGGATTTATTGGTTTTAAAGGTAGCTCGAATTGAATTTGTTTGTTTGGTGTTTAGTGTGTTGTATTTTTGTGTGGTGGGCAGTAGCGTGGAATGAGAAGATTGGATTCGGCAGGGGGTTTTTTGTTGTTGGATTTACCCTTTCACTTCAAGCCCAATTGGAATCAGTATAATATTATTATGTCATATCAAAATGGGACTTAATGACTTCCCAAAAAGGCACTATACTGAGAAGGACTTGTCAGTATGTTAGTGTTTTAGCGCTTATAAATGGCTGCTTGCACTGTATGCTTCCTAGGAAATTGAGGTTGTTTATCATCATCATCATCATCATCATCATCATCATCATCATCATCATCATCATCATTGTATACAGCAGAAGAGTAAAAAAAGGTTGAGACTTGGTATTGTTACAAAAACATTTAATGACATTATCATCATCATCACCATCATCATCATCAGCAGCAGCAGCAAAAAGATTTTTTAAAACGGTGGAGACTTGAAAGATTTTCAAAAAGTAATTTTAATGTTCAACGTTTCACTGTCTTGTGGCTTCATCAGGAACATAACAAAAAATAATATATGTGATTAGGTTAGCACTACACTATGGAAACACATACGTCACAGCCACAATGCTCAATGGTGCGCGCGAGAAACATACATCGGAAAGGCCAAAGAAAGGAGAATGCGATGGTAAGAAGTGGCATGGATATAATAGTATTGCGTATAGGTGCCGTCATATCATAATAATATTATTGTTATGTTATTGTAAAGATAATTGGTAGTAGTAGTAGTAGTAGTGTTCAAAAAGTGTTATTTTAGAGCGTGTCTCTACCAAAACCGAATACTGACACTGGCAAGTGGCTGGCCCCTTGTGTGTGATTCCATGATCTACATGTTAGATCCTGTACTTTTTTCGTGAATTACGCGCCTTTAGGGTTAAAACGGCCAGTCTATGGATGGGTTGACGCACGCCTTTATTTTTTAAATTTTTGTGGTTGTTTATTTGCTGTTCTAATTTTGATTTCATTCCGTTGTGAAACTTTTATTTTTCACGTTTTTACACTCTGTGTGGCTACAAATGATATTCTGGATGCTTAAAACAGAGCATAAGAATTTCTGGTGTTTTAGATTAAGTTACCTCTATCAACATATTGCTATATACATCGTCACAGAGAGTTGAAAGCTTCCAAATCAATGGCAACTTTTTTGGCAACTTTTGCCATTTTTGTGGCAACTTTTGGCAACTTTTGGACAAAAAAATGGTAACAAACGCAGATGCTAGCTACGTTTTTGACATCATCATCATCATCATCATCATCATCCTCATCATCATCATCATCATCATCATCATCATCATCATCATCATCATCATCATCGTCATCATCATCATCGTCATTATCATAAGAGTATATCGTCAAAATAATTATTATTCTAAAAAGGGGTTCTACAGAAAGTACTACACTAACACATTCTATTTATAAATTACAAATGTTTGGCATCGAATCAGAACACCGGGCAGAAAAGAGATGTTCATTTTCAATGTTCCAGTTAATATTAGAATGACCAACTGTCTAGGCCAGAGGCTTCACCCGATGAAAAAGACGTGTGCGCAATTGAAGGGGTCAAGTGAAAAGAGGATACGGCCATTTTTATAAGTTTAGAAAGGAAAAAAATTCGGCTTAATCTCTAAACTAACACCAGTCCTTCTAGAGTACCCCCAGGAGATCAATCAAGCGAACAAACTAATTAAGTCATCCCCAAAGTGCATTTCTGTAACTGCAAATCAAATTTTCTAATTAAGAACGTGGACAGTTGGTGGGTGCTCTAGTATGGTGTGCTCCTTCTTTTCTATCAAACATTTATCGTTGTTAACTTTCCTATTCCTTTTCTTTTGTTGTTTGTTACTCTCATGTAACGCTTCTAATCTTCGGCACTTAAAACGTGACCTAATTGTATTGCAAGTGCCGTAAAAGTCTAATTAAAATAAAACTAAGAACAAGCCAAATCCATCATAGAATAGAGCCTACAAAAGGTTAAGTCGTGGTAGAATTAAAGTGACTTAGGTAGTTTTTCACATGATCCCATCAATTGTGAATGTTTTGCGTTCCTATCGACACAGTATAAATCATTTGGGAGGCGGGCTCCTTCTTCTACGCCTGTCGGGGTCAACGCGGATTGAGAGAAGTACAACATCCAAGGAGACGAGTCTACACGAGAGAACTTCCTCATCCGGGAATCGAACTCATGTCTTCTGTATGCGACAGCACAGGGTCGTTTAAAGCTACACTATAGACGTCAGTTTTGAAAAATAGGAGAATTCCATGCCCCCCCTCCCCCCTCCCGAAAAAAGCCTAAATAAATAAATAAATAAATAAATAAATACATAAATACATAAATACATAAATAAATAAAGAATGAATATATCCCAAAAAGGATGGCGGTTTTGGGAGGAGGGGTTGAAGTAGATATTTTTTACGGCCCCATCGACACAACTTAGGACATTCAGGGGGCGGGATTCGACCTTGCCTGTCAGGGCCAACTTTTAGTGAGTAATGCTCAGCATCCCAACAGAAAAACAAATAGCCTACATGTGTTATTATTTGATAAATTAACTTCCCCTGGAAAGAATCAAAATAATTCATGCACTTGGTGTGCAACAGCGAAAAAAACCAGCTAAAGCACCACAGACCCAAGCATTAGGTGTGGTAAACTGGTATGACAAAATTCCAAGCTCATTTTAAACCATCGAGTTACTCAAATCGCTCTGAAGTCTTACTTGGATTGCGAATTGTAAAGTTGTGCAACTAATGACACAATTCAAATGATTATCTACCAGGCGAACTGCATGGACCCAGCCTGTCAGGGCCAGCCAAGGCTGAGATTGAGATGAATGCATCGTCTCAGCAGAAACTTCGATATACTCGATAAAAATTCTTCCCACTCGGGGATTGAAATCGGGTCTTCTGCGTGGCATGGCGAGGCGGCTAAGACGCCGGTAGACCTACTACCTCATGTACTGGGTGTGTCTGTACACAAAACCCTCTCTCCTCGTCACGAGCAGCTTTTGCAGCAAATCTTAGCCTGACGTTTTTCTTTTTACCAAACAGTCAATGAAACCATTTACTTACTTTCCAAGTATGCATTTTTTCTCTAATTTGCCGTGACGAAATTAGCTTCTTTATACGTTTATCATGATGTCGAGAAAAAGTGCTTCTCGAAATTTTGATAGAAGTGCACCTAGATCTAGGTATGAGAAAACACTACCTAAAAAAAAATAAAAGGAAAAAAAGAAGAAAGAAGTTTTCTCAAAATTGTGATAGAAGTGCACCTAGGTATAAGAAAACACTTCCTAAAAATATAAAAAAAAGAAAAGAAAAGGGGAAAAAAAAGATTTTTTTTTTCTGAAATGACAAAATAAGAAGGTTGGTCCCAAATTCTCAAAGTTAAAATCAAACAGATTTTGATCTTTAAATGCACTGTCTAACGTGGGATTTCTCTAGGGTCAATTTTAGGTAATGTTCCCTCCATCATTCTTTTCAACTTTTTGTAGCAGGTATATTATCTCGACCTCCTTTTGCTTTCTTTACTACTTTACAATTTACAGCGAGTGCGACAAAAATACTCGGTACATCTTCATTTTGCCTTCTTTACTACTTTACAATTTACAGTGAGTGTGAACTGACTGACACATTGTTTTCATCGCTGAAATGACAAATAGGCTACACTTTATACGTCCTAAAAGAAAAAAGCAAGAAAGAGATTATCTGAAATGACAAAAAAGGACGCTGGTCCCAAATTCTCAAAGTTTAAATCAAACAGATTTTGTTCTTTACATACACGGTCTAACATGGAGTTTATTTTCTCTAGTGTCAATTTAAGGTAATCTTCCCTCCATTATTCTTTTCAATTCTTTGTAACAAGTATATTATTATTATCTCGACCTCCTTTTGCTTTCTTTCCTAATTTACAATTTATAGCGAGTGTGAACCAAAATACTTGGTGCATCTTCTTACTCCGCATGATGGAGCAATTTTGGGTAATCTATGGTTCTTTGAGTGCAGACTCCACTGATGACAACCATTAAAAAGAGTCTTGGAGAAAGAGCTGGCTCATGGGCAAACACAAGGATACAGGGGAATTCGCTGTACAAATAAATGACGTAGGTTTTGGGGGGATTGGGAGCGGGGGGTCGATTGTTCAAATGTTATAACAGTACAGGGTTTTGGTTTTTCTCTACTGTAACATTAACGGTAAGGAAGCCTCTCTCTGCTACGCTATTGAGATCTGTTTCACTTTTACGAAGAAATCGTTATTAATTTATGCCGAATAGTTTATTATATCTGTGGATTTTACTTTTATGTTTTCTAATCTCAAATAAGATATTTCTATATAGCATTTAGCCTGCTCCTTTACCCTGAATTCTCGTTTAAGGTCATAGTTCAAGGAAAGTTAAATAGACTTTGTCTTCCAAGATTAAAATGGAATGAGAACTGATTTCAGATTAGTGAACAAAATTCGGTCCTTATTCGGAACGAGAGAACGTTCGCAGCACTGTTTTTTTCTAAAAGAGGTAGTGGGGGGGGGGGGGTCCTGGGGTGCAAAGTCAACTGATTACAGTCATCAATAAGATTGGAACAAGTATTTGCACTGTCCTACTGGAGGTAATTACTTGTGGAATTTGATCTTAATCCCTGGCAAACTGATAAGCGGTAGAAACTATTTAAACCCTCAAATCGTGGATGTGTTGTTGATAAATCACCTGGTAAAAGAATATTATTAAAGGACTAGCTTGTAAAGGTTTGGGTAAAATAGTCACCAGATAACATTGGACTAGCTAGTGAAGATTTGGGTAATAAAGTCAGCTGAGGTGGATTTTTTCTTCATTTTTTATTACTTTTCATGTAGGTGTTTTTACGCCCCCGTCGACACAATTTAGATCATCCAGGAGGCGGGGCTTCCGACCCTTCCTATCAGAGTCTGGGCTGAGAGGGATACAACACTCCAGAAGAAAGATTGAGATACTCGATAAAAATTCTCGCCATTTGAGAATTAAAATCTAGTCTCTTACGTGCGATAGCGAAGCACCTGCTTAACGCTACACTACAGACGCCTGTAGTCATCTGGTAACATGGGACTATCTTGTGAGAATTTGGGTAACAAAATCACCTGGTAACATAAGACTATCTGGGAGAATTTGGATAATAAAGTCACCTGGTAAGATAGAAGACTATCTTATGAAGATTTTGGCAACAAAATTACCTGGTAGCAGAAGATCAGCAGGAAAAGAAAAAGCCTTTCAACTTATTACATTTTTGTCTTCACGTAGTTGTATCTAAGACTCAGACTTCGCTCAAGAGATTTATGGTTCAAACCCTGTCACTGCGTCATTGCTGAAGAAGAATGAACACCCCGAATATGACCACGGACATGAGTACCCTGACCACTGACCTGACCCCTGACCTGACCTCGACCACGGACTCTCAAGATTCCATTCTGACACCACATCAATACAACGCTATCAAGTGGTCACTTGTGGCCCTACAGGTGCTGGTTTGTCTTTTCGGTCTCGTCACCAATATCGTCAACATCATCGTCTTCGGCAAAATGGGCGTAGCTGAGAGCGCCGTTTCTCTCACCTTGTTTTCCCTGGCTGTGGCAGATCTGGGTTTCCTTGTAACCTACTTCATCTTCCTTCTTATCACGGTAGCTTTAGCCTTCGAGTTAGACTTGATCTACCACCAAAGCTTATCTATATCAGTATGGTCGTTCTTGTATAAAATCTCCACGGCTATAACGGTCTACTTGTCTTTACAGAAAATGTTTTGCGTTGCGATACCTTTCACTTTTAAGAACGTGTTCACTTTGAGACGAACAGTGGAAGTGTTAATGTTGACAACTGTAATCATAGCAGGTTTCTATGTGCCTATGTTTGCATCTTATTACATAGGGGAGTTCAAGGATCCTCTCAACAACACGACAAGGCGTGCCTTGGCTCAAAGCCCAAGTTACCGAGGCTACAGGGACATACAAGAGATCGCCATGGAGTACGTATTGCCGTTCTCAGCTCAGATCATCGTAATCATCTGTCTGGTCGTCCTCGTCACCAAGCTTTCCAGGGCGTCCAACTTCCGGCGACGCAATGCCACTACGAAAACAACCGATGAGGATTCGGCAAATTCCGGAGCTTCAGGGCTGTCTGGAAAAGAACTACAGGTTAGTAAGGGGGCATACTAATGACAGAGAGAGAAAGGTTTGAGACCCATGGGAGGTTGGGGTGCGTCTGACGCAACAAATAATGACAGTATGCGTGACTGACGTTCCAATAATAGAATGTGTGACTGACGTGACAAACGACTGTATTTGTAACAGAAAAAACAAACGATAGCACGAACAATTAACGTGACAAATAATAGCATGTGTGACTGACGTGACCATTGATAGAATGTGTGACAGACGTAAAACATTAAAACTCTTTGTGTGGCTGATGAGACACAGGATAGTATGTGCTTCCCGGGAAGCTGAGAATGTTTCGGAATGTTCTATGGTCTGCTGGGGTAATAATATAGTGTAAAGCGCATAGAGCCTACTGCTGAACGGGGATATGCGCTAAACAAATGCTATCTATTATTATTATTGTGTGTCTGATGAGACACATAATAATGCTAGAATGTGTGGCTGACGTAACACATTATAAAAGTACGAGTAGCCGATGAGAAAAACAATACATGCAGTTTTCTAACTGACGTAAAAGACAGTGTGTAAAGGGTGTGTCTCAAATAACTAATTCCCCACATTTGTCCACCTCGTCATGTTCAGTTGCTTTGCCTGCTGATAGATCAGCAGCAGCTGCCAATGCAATACTTTCGTCCACTTGGTCAAAATCCGTTGTTTCAACTGCTGTAGGTTAAGCTGCATGTACCAGTATACTGCCTTCTGCCACATTTTCACCGACTGCAGGTCCCTTTGCATCAGAGCTTTTGAACAGATGCAAAATATTATGATTTATAGTCTCAGGGCTGACTGACAAAAACTGGTTGAAACTCGTTCAGCGAATTTAGCGGAAACGGGATGCTTTGCCCTGATTTAAAAAAAAAAAATCTTTCTGAACGTAGCACGATAGGTCTACGTCGGCTGCCGGGATCTCAGCCAAGTAGGTAATGAGAAAAAAAATCGTACGTTTTAGAACTTTTTTTTTCGAAGTTACAAGAAGATTTCTTAAACATTGAAGAAAAAGGGGCCTTATAAACACAGTGATCTGAAGACAAATTTTTCTAACCAAGTGGCCCACTTTGTCCTTTCAGTACCGGCCAACTTTGTCCCTTCGGCACCGGCCCAGGGGGCATTGCCCAAATGCCCATAGGCCAGTCCGCCCCTGGCTCTCAAACATTTTGTTCTCTTTGGGTTGTGACTTGAGTTCACAGTACTGGCGTTAGTTGACCTTCTTCTACTGGTTTTTCTTTCTTTCTGGCGTTTTTGTTTGTTTCGGTTTATTGCTGTTGTTGTTGGTTGGTTGCTTTTTTTTCGTTGTTTTTGTTTTTGTTTAGGCAGTGCAAGCTGTGGTTCTGGTATCCGCCATGTTCGTGACCTGTAACCTGCCTCCCATGTGTTCTACGTTGGCCATGATGGTGGAACCCGAGTACTATCAGTTTGGCTCTTACTTCAGGTACACAGATGTTGTCTCTACTTGTCGTGTGTGTGTGAATGTGTGTGTGTGTGTGTGTGTGTGTGTGTGTGTGTGTGTGTGTGTGTGTGTATAGGCGTGTGTGTACGTGTGTATAAGCGTGTGTGTGTGTGTGTGTATGTGTGTGTGTGTGTGTGTGTTTGTGTGTGTGTGGGAGAGAGAGAGAGAGATAGAGGGGGGGATTCTCTATGGTGTAAGAACTTGGGTTGAGAATGAGTGTATGTGTACGTTTGTGAGTGTATGTGTGTGTATTTGTGTATGCGTGCGTGCATGCGTGCGTGCGTGTGTGCATGTGTGTATGAGTGTGTGTGTTGGTGTGTGTGTGTGTGTGTGTGAGAGAGAGAGAGAGAGAGAGAGAGAGAGAGACAGACAGACAGACAGACAGACAGACAGACAGACAGACAGAGAGAGAGAGAGAGAGAGAGAGAGATTCTCAATACTCCTCCATGTGAGTAAGCAAGTGTGTGCATAAATGTGTGTTTCTCTGCGAGTGGGTGAGTCAGCAAACTGCTGCGTGCACACGTATTTGCTTTATGACACGTCGTAAGATCTGGAGCAGTTTTCAAAACCAATAAGAAAGAGCGTGAACAAGAGAAGAGAGAGGAATGAATAAAGAGACAGAGGGAGGGATAAATAGAAAGTGCTAAAATGAAAGA